ATAGCTCATGCTCTTTCTCAGTCTCCGAGTAGATGAGGATGTCATCAATATAGACAACTACTCCTTCATCCAGTAGTTCCTTTAGCACATCATTGATCATTGCCTGGAAAGCGGAGGGAGCATTGCATAGACCAAATGGCATCACATTATACTGATACAGTCCATAGCGGGTTCTGAAAGCGGTTTTCCACTCATCACCTTCTGCTATCCTGATCAAATTGAAGCCGTTCTTTAGGTCTATATTTGTGAAGATCTTGGCCTTGAACAACCTGTCTCTGAGCTCACTCATGATAGGCAGTGGGTACTTGTCCTTGACAGTGACCTTGTTCAATCCTCTATAGTCCACACAAATCCGCAATGTCCCATCCTTCTTAGGAATGAACAGTATGGGCGCCGCAGCAGGGCTGTTAGATCTAGAGATCTTTCCTGAAGACAATTCTTTGTCCAGGTACTCTCGGAGGGCCTTCAACTCGGGAGCGGAACATGGATATAGCGGGCCAAATGGGGGAGCGGTGCCAGGCAAGAGTTTGATCTTCAAATCATTAGGGGAATGCGGCGGCATTTCCTCAATCTTCTCTTGACTGAACACATCAGCCCAATCCCGGTACAGGTGGTGTATCTTCTCAGCAATATCACCTCCGTCCTCATCATGCCATACTGAACCAACCAATTGATAGACTGTCTCTTCTTCCTCCAACATTTGGTATGGAGAGATCAGTTCGATCTTGGTGGCCGCTGGGAGACAATTCTGCTTGCAGTAGTCACTCCTCCAGCTCATGGTATTGAGTTCCCAGTTAATGTCCGGGTTATGCTTCCTAGCCCAACTAATTGGCAGGTAACCGGTCATTCCTTCCTCCAAAGTAGCCACTTCCCATCGGAGTGTCTCTTTATGATCTCCCATAGTCATGCGGACTGGGTGAGTGTAATACTCACCTCCTCCCATCATGATATCTCCTTGAGCATCAAACATTGTCAGAGGTTGATCCCGCCGCACTAAGGGAATTCCATGCTTTCTGACAAAACTCTGGTTGAGGATTGCTCCTGTACAACCGGTGTCAAACAGGAAAGACCCTTGGGCGCCTTCATCCTCTCCTTTGACTGTCCATGACAGTCCTGCCTTCAGTATAGGTCTTTTTCCATGTACTGGTAAGGAGGGAAGCCTTTGCTCCAACCTTCTTTGCTTAACAGCGGGTTCCGAACTTGTTTCTCTTTGTCTTTTCAACATAGCTAATAGCTTCGGGCACTACTAAGATCAGAGATCCTTTGGTTCTGTTCCCAAGCGGTAATATAGCAGATGTATTGTGTAGTGGTCTTTTTTGGCAGCGGTTTGGAAGTGTCTTGGTAGCAAATGTAACTTTGGTAGAGCACTGACAGGCCAGCTGTTTCGGGTCTTAAACCCATCCTCAGAGTGCTTGGAGCAATCAAATAGGCAGAAACACAATCATAATTTATTCAAGAGAAACATAGAAACCGAAAAACCCATATAAAAGAAAACTAGTAAACATAGACTCAAACAGACACTTTTCTACCAGAGAATTTCATTGTCCGAGTCTTGCTCAGGCTGCAAAATAAAATCTTCTGTAACCTCCGGGAGTACAACAAGTGGATCTTCTGCTACAACAGCAGCCACTTTAGCCTTCTTCTGAGAGTTGGACTTGCCATTCCCTCTTTTCCGCTTTTGTACTCTCACTGCGGCCACTCGGACAACAGTAGGTTCCTTGGACCAACAATCGGTCCATTTGTGTCTGGACTTGCCGCACTATTGCACAAGTCAGTCTATGCACTCTACCAATAGGGTGTAACGGCAGCTACGTATTTCGGCTATGTGATGAACTGGGATGAGGGAAGGAGGTATCGTGCAGTGGAATTAGGATTTGTAATGGGGATTTCTGTTATGTTCTTTGGGTTTCTGTTACGCGAAGGTATTAGTCATCGTTGAATTATGGATGGATATATAAGGAGGCGTTGTTTCGTGCTTTTGTCTGTTTTCCTTCTTCTCTTTCTTCCTTACGCAACCTCTGTATTTTATTCTACGAATACTATTCTTTGTTCGCACTACGTCATAGGGCTCCAACCGGTTTATCATACCAGGTAGAGCCACCCATAGTCCATAGTCAAAGTATACCTTTACGTCTACGTCCACGTCTACGTCACTACCTAGGTTGTATTCCTTGGCACCACAGTCTATCGCCTATAGTCCCCGTGATATAGGGAGTACCGGAAGGTCATACCTTCAAGCATACTTCTGCTTTCCTTCTTTCTTCTAGAATATCCCCCGGGATACCCTTCAGTTCCACCGCTTTGTCTTTAGGCCCAGGAGTCTTCTGAGGTCCGGAGGAGCTCGCGGCTTCTCTTTTCCTCTTAGGCTGCTGGTCCTTCTGAGCAGGAGGATCCTTCTTGGTCCGAGGGGGCGCTTTCTCAGCTGCCATCCCTTGGTACCTCTCATGTGTGTGTCCTAACTCTCTTAGGGCAGCTATCCGCTCCATCAAAGACTTTGGCTTGGGATTAAAAAGAGCCCAACTCATGCCTAGGTCCGCAAGGAGGGAATTGTTAATCTTATCATCCACCAACTGACCCTCATAGCCAGTCTTCCACATCAGCTGAATAATAGTATTCAGGAAGAGATCAATTCCTCCTCGGGCTGTGTGGGTAAGGGTATTCCATTGGGTTACAGCATCATCTCGAGAGATGGCTTCACCGAAGGCTGCTCTAAAAGCATCCACAAAGGAGTCCCAGCGCTTCCATCTCTGATCCAACTGCACCGGCATTCCAGCAAGACGGTTGGCGGAGGCTTGATCAATTGAATTGTGGTATGCCTCATACCATCGGATCGCTGCCTCGCCTTCCATCAAGTTGCCTGCATATCGGATCTTAACCTCCTCAGAGGTAAAGGACAGGCTCTCAATGGAGAACACATTCTCACATTGCCGGATAAAGGTTTCCACTTGCTCCGCCTTGCCCTGAAACTTAGAGGGTGGTGGTGCCTTTGGTTCTCGAGCTCTGGTGGAAGTAGAAGGGTGGGAGGTGGTCGGAGGTTGATACTGCTGGGACATCATTGCCAACAGATTCTTCTGTTGCTTCTCCAACTTCTTCTTAAGGTATCTCCGCCAATCTCTTCTGTTACCACCTTCTGGTTCCGAGTCTGAGCTGTCAGAATTATCCGAATCTCCTGGAGCGGGAGCGCGGGCTGCTGGAGGTGGAGGGTTCTGATTTCCGCCACTTCCTCCCTGTGCCTGAGCTGGAGGGGGAGCGGCGGCCGCAGCAGGAGGGGCCACAGGTGCTACTGGTGCCGGGTTGCTGGCCAGTGGTGAGGTTGCTGCTGGTTGAGCAGCCCCAGACATGGTAAACCTTCCTGGGTTCCTAGCTAGCGGACTAGGAGGTCCTCGGCCTGCACCTGAGAAAAACTCTCCTTCATAGTCAAAGGATCGGTCGGCTCCTCCAAGGAGTGGATGTGTTCCACCGAAGCGGCTAGGTGGTAAGGGTGAAGCCCCCACCGCTGGCTGCACAATAGGGATAACTCTCCTAGTGGATCGGACCGGAAATGCTGCAAAGGGGCTGGTCTTCCGCTGCATTGTCCTGGTAGCTGCTCTGGAAGAGGACCTGGAGACTGAAAGTGGTGCCGGAGTTGCTGGTCTACCCACCACCAACCTTCCTTCATCAAGAGCTCTCTGTATCTCGGCAACAAAGTCTGGTGGAGTGGCCGGATTTGTCCACTCAATCTCCATGGCATCAACATCGGCAGTCAGTTCATCTCTTTCTGCATACTTCCGGAGCTCTTCCTGAACAGAGTTGACTTCCGACCTCATGTACTCTAGAGCTTCTGCCATCAGAGCATTCTGTGCTGCCTGGCGCTCTTGTACAATGAGCAGTGCCTGACTGCCTCGATTCAACTGACTCTGCAGACTGTGCTGGAGGTAGGTCTGAAGCTCTGTGAAGAACTGTTGTAAGGAAACCTCATCGGTATCCTGCCAGGCAGGCTCACAGCCGGGAATATAGGCCTGTAGAGCGGTCCTGGGTTTCTTAACAAGCTGTGTCTGCCCGGTGGCATCAAGTTGGAGGGGCACCGGCTGCCATTCAATCTGAAGGGGTGCATCTGGAGCCGAGAGGGCGGACATTTTGTATAGAGGAAGAATAATCTGAAGGTGACTTGAGCCTTAAAGATTATCTGTAACGGGGGTCCTTTCTAAGAGAAATAGATTTGTATAGAATAGAGACGGCCGTGCAAGATAGACAATCAGGTTGCAGATTATTCAAAGATACTATCGCTAGAACTCAATAATCTTTAAGGGCTCTGCTACCGATAAGAACTTGGTTTTCTTTCTGATGAAGACTGGAGAGAACAGGACTGAAGGGCGAGAATGAACCTGAGTACTTATACTCCGAAGGCCTCTATTCTCTGCTCCTAACTCCTTACTAAGTTCCGGTGGGCCTTCCCTCAGTACCGGAAACAATACCACCGCTACCCCGCTTTTCTCTAAGCGTCAGCAGGTGTTTCCGATACCCGAGGCAACCACCCTTAGTCAAAGCCTTTGTAACACCTGCAGCCTTGGTTGCCACACAACCGAGGACCTGCATGAATGAGCTGCCGCTCAGGTGTAAGCTTAATCATTGCTGTAGAGCTTGCGCTTATTGTAGACTTTCCTAGCAGAGTCCCTGCCTTTCGGCGGACTTACAATGCTTAGAGGATACAGAGGATCACCGGTCAATCAGAGCTTCACTCTGGCCGGTCTTCTAGTCACTGGCGAGGCATAGACTCGTCAGTCATTGCTCCCATGAATAGATCCGCTTCCTAGCGCCCGGAATGTAGTTACTCTAACAGCTGGTAGCTAACCACACTGCCGGTACTTGCATATCACCGTGCAACGGGCTTCTAACAATAACTCTCAGCATGTAACCGGGCCCTGTGTGTACTCATACACCAGACAGTTGAAATGGCTCCGTTACATGGAGTAACGAAGTCACCTCAAAGAAAAGAACTATTATCGTTATCCCCTATCACAATGACTACCCGAAGGGATAATTACTTCATAGATACCTCGGCCGTGACTGAGGAGGCCGGAGGAGAAGATTCTATGGTGATATCAAGGGCTGCTAGCCCAGACCCCCTACTCACGGGAGGACCCTCTACAACAACTAGGCAATCGAGTAAACGCTCTGCTCAAGCCCAGTTCGTGAGGAATATGCAGGAGTTTTTGGATACCCATGAGGCACAAATGAGGTATCTTGGTGCAGCTGGACAGGCCGTTTGGCAGCAGCTACAAAACCTCCAGGAGCAAGTCCAAGGGAGTGGACAAATCCTGGATAAGAAAGTACGGCAAGAAGCCATTGCCCAAAAACAACATCTCGAGTCGCTCTTTGAGCTCGTTACCCATGTCCAACAAATGCAAGAAACCGCACGAGCCGCCGACCACGAGGTTCTGGACCGTAACCATCGGATTACCCAGAACCAACTGTTGGAAGCGGAGCGACAGCTGAGGATGGTACGAGAAGAGCGGGAGCAGGAGAAAGGGGAACAACGGGCTATGTTTGCGCAATTCAAGCAGTCCGATGAGATAAGAAACCAACGGATAGCCGAGATGGAGGAACTACTGCGACAACACCTGTCAGTAGCTGTGAGGGATGCGTACCAGACCACAAGAGTACACTACGCAGAGCTCAGAGTTCGGCTAACAGCTACAAAGGTAGAAGTCTCCAAGGTCTCTTCAGTCAACGTCGGGTATGATTCTCCTTGATCCGATACGGGCCCCGCGAGCTACGTTATCAACAAAGATTCACTAGAGTTAGCGTAGGATGTTCGACCGTCTTCGACGTAATAGTTCAGGTAGAGTTCGAAGTCACGATAGAGTAAAGTAATTCCAAAAGTATAGTCAAATAAAGTTGTAACTCGCGTATCAACGATTTATATTGTTAAGACTCTGATTTCGCCGATGATGGTTTGGCTAGTCAGTGAATGACACAGTATTTATATCCCTCGCTTATGTCTCGAGGACCCAGTCTACTAATAATACAGAATACACTCGGGGCATGCCCGAGACCCTGAAAAACAACCAAGAACATTTAACTCCTAAGTCCGTAACCCAAACTCCTAAACCCGCTGAAACCCCTCAACCTATTTATCCACTCTAATGCACGTTTCCCTGTCGATGTTTCTTCTCCATCGGCCATCTGGTGGATAATCGTCAGCGTCGGCTATTCGGAGGTCTCGGACGGCAAGGCTACCTACTCAGGCCTCTTCCCACATCGCTTTCCCACATAGCAGAGTCCTCTCATGCCCACAGGTACCGCCGATAGGTACTCGGTCGGCTGGCAGCTTGCGCCGATTCGCTCCGAGCGGTCCGATCTTCGATCCGATTGATTCCAGCTGTCCCTCATATATCCACCGGTACCAAAACACTCCCCTCCGGCGGTTTAACGCTCCGGGGGTTATTATTGGGGTCGAAAACGTGTTTTTTATGACTCTGGGTTTTTTGGTCGTAATTTGGTCGCACCACACTCCGCGAGTGTGGTCCAGAGTTGATATTAGCGTACAGAGGGTATTGGGGTATCTACTAGCCTTTCTCTTACTCCCGTAAATGCTTGGCATGCCCGTAACAGCTTACCCCCCTTCCAGGGTGTCACGTCTCGGGACATCTTCTGACAGACTATGGTTCCAGTAAACCTGCTCCACATATCACCCGCGGTGTCTGTGGAGGGGAAGGACTTAGCCCCGTAGGGTACCTCTATAGTCTCAGGCGTTGGTCCTTCACGGCCTTGGGGTTCCTTCGATGGAAGTCGCGGACAAGGTCAAGTACTTCCTCATCCATAGCGTCCATGACTTGATACGTACAGTCACTCATCGAATAGCCCCGCCATTTCACCAGGTATTCCACTAATCCTCTTCTGCTTTTCCGGCTCCCCACGATACTTTCCACTTCGTACAGCACCTCTCCTTCCTTATCGACCTCTTCGGGAGTTGGGGGACGTTGTTCTCGGCCTGGGATACTGCTTTGTCGATACCGTTCCAAGAGTTCAATATGGAACACATTATGGATTTTGACTTGTGGCGGCAGTTCCAGTTCGCAGGCTCGTTTCCCGGCTAGTCGGATAATTTTGAACGGGCCGAGTTTCTTGTGATCGAGTTTCTTGGTGGAGCGACGTGTCTTGATATTGGTCGCATTGAGCATAACCATGTCTCCCACCTTGAAGTTAGGCGGTTCGTCCCTTTTTCGATCATAGTATTTCCCCATCTTCTCCCTGGTATCTGTTAAGCGAGCGAGAGCAGAATCATGAACTCCCCGGATGAAGTGAGCGTACAGGTCACTGGTTGGGTTGACCACTTCGGCTTCCGTCGGCCAGTTGGTTCTTGGGTTGTAACCGTAATTGGTATAGAACGGAGATTGACCCGTGGCGGTGGTAACCGAGTTGTTGTAAGCATACTCCGCCAAAGGGAGTAGCTCTGCCCAATCATCTTGCTCATAGTTGCAGAACGCTCGTAAGTAATGTTCGAGGGTTTGGTTGACCCGCTCTGTTTGCCCGTCGGTCTGAGGGTGGAAAGCCGTACTCATTCTTATCCTCACGTCCAATAATTCCATAAGGGATGCCCAAAAACTCGAAGTAAACTTGGCGTCCCTGTCGGAAACTATATCAAGAGGCAGCCCATGGAGTCGCCAGATTTGACCGAGGAATATCTTCGCTAAATCCTGAGCGGTCGTTTCTGCTACTAGGGGGATGAAGTGCGACATCTTCGAGAACCTATCGACTACTACCCAGATTTGGTTATATCCCTTTGATTCCGGTAACTGCACGACGAAGTCCATTGATATCGATTGCCAGACAGAATGTGGCGTGGACAGTGGTAGAAGCGCGCCGTATTTCTTATGGCGGCTGGGTTTGTTGCGCTGGCACTCGTCACATGACCGAACGTAGTCATCAATCCACTCGTTCATTTTTGGCCAATAGAAGTTACGCGTGATGAGTTCCAGTGTCTTGTCTTGTCCAAAGTGTCCTGCCACTTTCGAGTCGTGTTCTGCCTGTGCGATTCGGATCTTGATACGGTCGTCTGCCGGGATGTAGAGTCGGTTCTTATAGAAGAGTAGCCCGTCTTTCTCAGCGATATCCTTTAATTCCCCCAGCTTCTCCCCTTGCTCAACTCTCTCTTTCAATCCTACCCATGTCGGGTCTCCCGATGCCGCCTGCCTGACATGATCCAGAAAATTCTTAGACCAGTCAATCACCCCCTTGGAGGCAAGCGACACCGCTGATACCACAAACTCTTCCTCCGCCAACTGTCCGGGCTTAAAGAACCTGTCTATCGGCTGTTTCCCAAGCGTGCCTCCCCCTTCAGGACGGTACTCCGGCCGTCGCGATAGTGCATCTGCCTTCCCATTTTTGGTTCCCGGGCGGTAAATAATCTTGAAATCAAATTCCGCCAAAGACTCAGCCCACCTTGCCTGTCGTCGGTTAAGAACCTTGGTTGTTGAGAAATATTCCAAGTTCTTATGATCTGTGTAGACGAGAACCGTTCGGCTAGGTCCTTCGAGGTAGTGACGCCATTGCTTGAAGGCCGACACAATTCCTAGCATCTCCTTATCCCAGACGTCGTAGTTGAGTTCCGCTGGGTTAAGCTTTCGAGAATAAAAGGCAACAGGGTGAGTCTTTCCGTCAATAACCTGGGATAGAATTGCGGCGATAGCAAAATCGCTTGCGTCCGTTTCCACGATAGTCTGGCGATCTGGAGAGAAGTGTACCAAGATCGGCGCAGACGTAAATAGGGTTTTGAGTTTTTCGAAGGCTGCTTGGGCCATCATAGACCAGACAAAGTTCTTAGCATCACCCCTGAGACAATCGGTAATGGGTTTACAGACCCCGGAGAAATTGTGGATAAACCTTCTGTAGAAGTTGGCAAAGCCCATGAAGATCTGTACTTCCTTAACGCTACGCGGGGCTTGCCAATTCGTAACAGACATAACCTTATCCAGTGCCATGGTGACGCCTGCTGGGGCAAGGATGTATCCGAGGAACTCGATTTCGGTGAGCTCGAAGAACGATTTCTTCGGGTTGGCGACCAGGTTGTATTCTTGTAGCCTGCTAAGTACTTTGCCGACCAGCTCCCTGTGTTCCTCTCGAGACTTGCTATATATTAGGATATCATCAAGGTATACTACTACCCCTTGATCCAAAAATTCCCTCAGCGCATCATTCATCATGTTCTGGAAGGTCGCCGGCGCATTTGCCAGCCCAAAAGGCATGACGAGGTACTCAAAATGTCCGTACCGCGTACGGAATGCTGTCTTCCACTCGTCGCCGTCTTTGATCCTGATGAGGTTGTAACCTTCCTTTAGGTCAATCTTCGAGAAGATAACCGCGCCTGCCACTCGATCTCGTAGTTCGTCCATAAGTGGTAACGGATACCTGTTCTTAATGGACACGCGGTTAAGTCCACGGTAGTCAACGCAAAGTCGTAGGCTACCGTCCTTCTTCTTCACAAATAGGATTGGGGCTCCTGCCGGGGATTTGCTCGGCCTAATCTTTCCCAATCGCAACATTTTGTCCAGGTACTCCCGAAGCACCTTCAGCTCGACTTCGGATAGGGAGTAGACGGGTCCCCATGGTGGCTGTTTACCTGGTTCAAGATCTATCGCATGGTCGTAAGATCGATGCGGTGGTAATTTGTCTGCTTCCGACGGTAGGAAGACTTTAAGGAACCCATGGAGCCAAGAGGGAAGGGTTTCGCGGAGGTTAACCGATTCGTCTTCCAAAAGACAAATGCTACCGATGAATTGGGCCTCCGGATCGTCCAATACTCCCTCGTCCATTTCTATTTGAGGTTCCTTGTCAGTGAAGCATCGACTTTTGCAATTCTCGCCATCGTAGGAAACTTCCCCATTTGACCCTATAACCGGCTTATGTTCTTTCAACCACCAGTTCGGTAATATGGCATCGATGCCAACCGGGAGAGGGGCGATCTCGAATGACAACTGTGTTTGATGCCCCCTTGACATTATAATTAATGGTTGTGTAAAGGCGTGTCCCGTGCCCTTCATAACTTCTCCCGTAAATCCAAATACCCGGGCCGGGACGTCTCGTTTCACCTTCGGGACCTCAAAACTATCAACAAAAACAGCAGACAAAACAGGACCAGTTGCACCAGTATCCAACAACACCTTACAAGGTAAACATTTTTCCGCAAAACAAAGGAACTGATTAACGATAGGTCGAGGACCATGAATAGGTTCCTCCAAAATTTTCTGTTTTTTCTCCGGTTGGGACGCTCTCCCTTCCTGCCTTTTTCTTTTCATATTTTTTTTGTTGTTTTCCGTCAGTGATAACATAGCAATCTGGGGATACTCCTGACCTGACTCATCAGAGTCCCCTTTTAAAAATCCTCATCGAAATCCATCTCAGATTCCGATCCGCGTTCTCGCACAAACGCTTGCCCACTGGTGTACTCTGCAGCAGCCGTCGCAGCCGGCTTCTTAGCACGGTGCCTCATTCGCTTTCTCTGAGGTTGGGGTTCCGGTGGTTCCATATCGTGGTCGCCATCGTCATCGCGGGTACGCTTTCGGGAGAAAGAGGAGATAGATGCACTGCTGTTAGCATCTGAACGACACCATTTCCAAAGATGACCCTTTCGGCCACATCGCACACAGGCTCCATCGGTCTTTCGCTGTTCTCGGACCGGCTGTGGAACTCCTTCGGTGGCTTCATCGTAGTCGTGGTATATTGGCTTATTCCCCGACTTGTTCTTGCTGGT